CGATCGTCATCATTTTCGACTCTGAGAGGTGGAATGGGTTTGGGATGAGTTTTCAGGACATTGGCTACCTTCCAGAATGGTCTGCGGTCGTCCAGATTCTGGACAACACGCCCGAAACTTTCATTTCGGAGTGAGTCCATTCTGGAAGCAATCTGTCTGTTCAGATCAGCCATTTCACGTTTTTTGCCCAGATCTCCAGTCCTCTGAAACTGGCGTCTACAAACATTTCTCAGGCGAATCAAAAGTTGGGTGTGGGAATCAATGGCAATAATCTTACCCCTCACAGGAACTCGTCGGACGCACGCCTCGTCAGCCATGGTTATGGCTTGGTGGAGTCCCTCCAACGCTCGGTCGTTTTCTTCACGGTGTCAAGCGGCGGGTTGTCGATGATGTGCCTGTCTACCACGCGTCCAAACTGGGCCCAGTTTACGCGATGGTAGTCCTTGCGCAGGCTTGAAGCAGGAGCCACGTTGCAGCCCAGTTCAGCCACCACCGGTTGGTGGTCGGAGCTGAGTTCGTTCAAGGCTACCGGCTTGGACAAGCCGATATTTGTCAGGAACAGGTCTAGCGTCGATGGGTTGCCCGCCGGTGAGATGAATGTTGGTTCATCCGAAAACCAAACGGAGTACAGCCCATGCTGTGAGTGGTCGAACAGGAGACGACCGTTCTGGTTCTGCTGGTAGTTCCGCCAGGCCTCATGGCGAGCATTCAGATCTCCTCCAACTACGAAGCGGGAACCGGTACGGGTGATGGTGGACAGGTCCTTCTTAAATTAAGCCACTAATCCACACACTGTCGAGGGCAGTAGACGGCGATGAACTGGACGTATCCAGTCGACGACTCCACCTCCACACCAAGGGCCTCGATGATAGAGGTGCGGATATGGGACAGAGTGTGGTATTTTATTCCTTTCTTGACGACAACCGCAACACTACCCCCCTGGAGCTGGTGCGATCAAGCCGGATAATGTTGTGGTCAGGCAACCACAAGCTGTCGCCGGACTTAAGATGGGTCTCGGTTAGAAGGCCCACGTCGATGCTGTGCTTGCGGAGCAAGTCGGCAAGCTCAATCTTTTTTGCTCTTACAGAGCAAGCATTCCAGGTGACGATACTTAGCGGTTTAGACGCCATACTGGATGATGAACTTACCGAGCACTTGGATCTGTTCGGGCTTATTGCGGCACTTACGAAGAGCACCGGACATGTTGACGAAGATTTCCATCAGTTCATCCGCTGAGAACAGATCGGGGTTGTTGTTTTGCGCTGTTGGTTGTCTCCAGAATCCAGGGGGGGGATGGAGAGCTTTGACCAGCAGAATCACCGGAAGCTTCTTGAGGGGGGGTGGGTTGCACCCGCGAATTCGCTTGCCTTTGCTGGGGAGCACGAAGAGGCGGAAAATCCTCCGGCCTGAATTATGGGGTTTTGTCCTTCTTGCGTCCTGGTCCAGCTTTCGGATGCGTTTGAAGTCCTCGCGTTTGGAGCACTGTCTGTCAGAACCTTGATGTGCACCACCACAGTTAGCGCATTTTATCGCCACGGCTCCATCCGCAGGACAGTTGGAAGTGGCGTGTTCTTGAGCGCAGTTGCTGCAGCGTGGCTTGATGTTGCAGTTGCGGGTACCGTGTCCAAAATTGAGGCACCTCTGACACTGCGTTACGTCACGATGACCGCCACGGTATGGCTCCCACCGTACGATGATGGAGTAGATCGATCGGATGGCTTGTAGCGCATTGAGCGTCACCGTCCCTTTCTGGAAGTGCACCAGGAAAAGACAATCCGGGTACGTCTTCACGTTTTCATCTCTCCTTGTCATTCGGAAGACAGCGATTGGGGCTAGCTTGTACCGGTTGATTTCGGCTTCGACCATCTTGGGGTCGAAGTTTGGTAGACCCCTGATGACTACCTTGAAGGGCTTCTCACCGGGGATGTCGTGCGTGAAGAATTCCGCCTTGGTATCCTTCAGATATTTCACGGCCACTTCGTACTCCGCTTTGGTTCGGAGCATCACCTTGGTGCCGATCCTGCCGAGCTTAAACTCAGCTGCAACGCCCAGCGATGAAAGATCGCCAATCAGCGTGTTGAGTGGGACTTGCTTCACCACCAGTGGAGGAAGCTTCATTTTTGCTGCACTCGGGCTGGCAGTAGTTTCGTTGTCGACGGCGTCGCCGAAATCACCAATGACGCTGACGTTCGTCGCGGTGGCATCGTCCCGTCCACTCGCACCATCGGACTGGCCTTGATTTTTCTTCCTCTTCTTAGACCGCTTCACCGTGGCTGAGGTGGGATTCCCTACATCGGTGGGAAGAGTAGCGTACCTATTCGAAATAGGTACACTCAAGCTACTCTCACCGCTATTCTTCTTCTCCGTTTTCTCTCGGAGCCTGCTCCGGGAGCGCTGTCTTCCCATCACACGAAGCGACCGACACTACTGACGACGCGATTAAACTGCGAATGTTTGGAACAAACTAGAACAACTCGACAGAGCGAGCAAAGACCGAACTGTACTGCTTGACGTTCAAGCAGAGAATGATCGATGGAACGGGCGACCTTGTTGGACGCTTATATAGTAGAACAGAAAATATCAGAGGTGTCAGATACTCGCATCTGATGTCTCGGTTGGAGAAAGTATAAGAATATAAAAAAATCAATCGATTTTCACCATCTTTAGACAATGGTCTACTTTTAACCATTTTTCAATAGTTTACAGAATGAAATCAATAGTTTTGAAGCATTCAGCAAATTGCTAGAAATATTTCCAATCGATTGATGCCATTATCTCGTAAATCTATCGAGAGACGGTTGAGTTATTATCGTTCAAAATCTTTTAATTTTTCGTAACGCATCCAAAATGACTGTTTTCAATTTTGTACCCCCGTATGTTGCCGAAAGACGTTATCCAACGTCAAAACCTGTAATGCTGCATTTGGAAGTTGAGTGTATATACAATAGTTGCTATGATGAGTTTTCACCGTTTGCTCTCCAGTTTTCAAAATGATGTCCAAGCCAGAGGAGCAGCGTGTCAAAATTTTGCTCGAACAACAAGAAAATCCGACGTTCTCACACGCAAAGGTGGCAAATTTGCTGGATGTGGCCAAATCGACCGTGACAAACGTCACGGGAAACATCAATCAAGAGATCTACGCCCAGGAGTGCCTGGAAAAGAGGCTGCTACCATTCCTAAAGCAATATAATAGACCTGTGCTGTTATGGAGCTTCCAGTATGGGGAAAAAGGCAATTGAGTGGTACGATGCGAACAACGTGGCTGTGGTACCCAAAGACCACAACCCTCCCAACAGCCCAGAAATCCGCCCTATCGAACGGTATTGGGCATTGGTCAAACGAAATTTCAAAAAAACTAATATATCCATGGAAGCAGTAGTTTAAATTTCTGCGGCGAATAAGCGGAAGGCACGGAAGTTCGGATTTGGTTAACCAAAAGAATAAACGAACATTTTTTCCTTTAAATATATGGATTGAACCGAGGGGGGCGACTCTATCTACGATGCAGGAAAAATTGTGTTTTGCTGTGGTTAGCTGCGCGCACGCTGAGTAGATGTGAAGAAGATTGATGACGATTTTGAAGATTTCCTGCAAAAAGATGATGCGCGATGCAAGTAGATACGAGAAATCAAAGAAGATTTTTCGAAGTTTGATTCGCTAGTGTGAGATTTGTTGAGCATCTAGAATTGAGATTTAGATGTGTCACCCCCCTCGGATTGAACTACCAAAAGAAAAATAAGAAGATTTTTGTGATATGAATTTTGACTGAAAGAAACGATTTTTTGTCGACCAATTTTAGCGCGTTCCAGTCTTTATGTCTTTGTTCAAGAAGCACTGCACTGTGCGACACCTCGGTCCTTCAAATGGGAAACATTGCTGCTGCGGCAGAAATAGTACTTAAGCTAATAGTCGTTGATGGAGAAATAGTACTTTGCAGTGCTCATGTGCTCGAAAAAATACCTCTTGAAATTTAACGATGACGTCTAATTTTAGGTTCATTAAAGACATTGCTTTCGCTGATAACGATAATGATTCATACACCCAACCGGGAAATGTAATATTCAATTGACCCATTCCAGGTGACGTATTGCAGTCACTAGCTGTGAATGTAGTCACTAATAAATGCTGCGTGACAACGTGACCTAAAAATTGCATTTGATCGACTTTAACTCCATTTTAAAACAAACAACTAAGAGATGAACTAGCCTCAGGCTAAAAATCTCTAAAATAAAGACAAAAAAAAAAAAAAAAAAAAAGACAAACAACATTTCACTGTTGTTATTAATCGGATGGATGTTTAGGGTGAGTGTCCTTGTTCTGTATCTGCATTAGTACACTCAACGTTCGGAAACTGGAAAACGTTTACTTTTCGCTAGCTGAATTGCATTTCATATTTTAAACAGGCAACCCAATGCTTGAATGCCTTTGAAGAGCATTGATGTGCATCTGACGTTTCTTCACAGTTTAATATAGATAAATAGAATCAAATCGCAAATGAATCATAAAACCAGATAATTTAAAATTTACTACTTCAAATGACAAACAAAACTTGCATCCGATCATAGACACAGAAAAAAAAAAAGTCACCATTCACACATGCAACTTCAATCATACATAGACAGACCGATTCAGCGAACCACGCCTCCATTTACGCTGTGTATTCTTAACTCCTACTCACATCAGTACAAACAATTTCCAGCCCGTCATCCAAACGATATCTATGACAAGTCCATTATTGGAGACGAATGCACCATAGCGAAAATGACGCGGGGAATCACCCTTGCACATGACCCGCACTAGCTAGAAAGCCCTGCCGCGACTCTCGGGGTCTAAAAAAAAGGGGATTCTCCCGTTGTCCCGTCTGAGTTGCGATCGCGAGCGGAGATCTTCCATGCGGGCCTTTTTATGAATGAATCGCTATTTGCCCACCAATGGAGTGTCTCCGTATAAAAGAAATGTTCTCTCTGAGCGAGGCATTCAGTGTCAAGAAAAATGCGAATCGATTCGCTTCGGTTGTAATTAATTGAGCTGCGTAATTTCCCTGATAACGACGACGAGAAAATGAAGTTGGTGATAGTGATTGCAGTGCAAATTCTAGTTCTAGTTCCAACGAGTAAGTCCAGCCAATGTCACTTCCCTGGGGATCAGTGCGTCGCGGTGCAGTACTGCCCGCACATCCAGGAAGCCATCGAATCGGGAGCAGTTTATCGGAACAGCACCCTGTATGACTATGTGTGGTCACGGACGTGTCACAGCTCCGGCCAGGAGCCGCGGGTCTGCTGTGAGCCAGAACATACAAGTTTGGGGAAGCAGTGCCTAATGGTGCCATCGCAGGACAATCAGCAGCCGCTGGAGGGAACATGCGTTGCTTCCGAACACTGCACTCCGATCAAGCGGTATCTACAGCGACGGCGACGCAATGCCGCCTACGATCGAAAGTTGGCGAACAATGTCTGCTACCAGGATGGAGGAGTGAAGGTAGGTTGCATTGGTCAGTTCCTGTCAAGTATTTGTTTAATTGATGATTTACCTCGGTGAACAGGAATACTACTGTTGCCCGGAAGTTTACGTTGGCAAGCAGGAGATGGAAAATAACAAAAAGAAAGTGCAAGAGCGTGTGTTGCGAGTGAAGAATGGTGAGTAAAATATTCATTGATGATTTCTGACCGTGGTTGTCACCTAATTAACCGATGGCTGTATGATGTATCTCTCTCTAATTTGGTAGTAGTTACATTTGGTAGTATTCCATATAATAACTACCAAATTAGAGAGATAGAGAGATCGCTTAATGGCCCTGCAAAGCTTTATCCCAAGATTCAAGTAAAATCAATAATTTAGTAGTAGTGTTGCCATGTGGTACAATCCAGTGGTAGTGGTGTTGCCATGTGGTACACTGAAAAAAAATGCAAAAGCAGGTTAGTCACCAAAGTTTTCGAGCCGCTCCGTCTGTCACTTCGTTTGTGGTCAAACTTTCCGTTTCCGTTCCGCTTCCGTCCACATTGCGTTTGGGCCTTTACAGTAGAAACGCCTAGCGCGAATGTTAATTCAGTTCATCATATATGTTATACACGATAATTTCTAGTCTTTCAAACTTTGAAATGTTGAAAATCTTTCACTATCTATTCAAGTGTATTGCACATTGAATCACGCTACTGTTCAAAACAGATGGATTTAAAGTGTTTTGCATTTCAATACGATGTGAATTGCTTGCTCAGAAACGTAAACATCGAAAACAAGAGTTGTGACTTTATCCTATCAACCCGCCTCATATATGAGAACAACCGTGGCACAGTGAGATCGAACGAAGACTCCGGCAGCAGCACACCCCAACAGTCCATGACCGAATCCCAAATCAGACCCATTAAAAAGATATGCGAGAAAGCTCTGACCTCTGGAAGTTTTGTTTATATATTTGTCGATTCATTTTTAGAGTCGGTAAAGTGGAAGTCGATAAAGTAGAATATTGAACTATGATGTGCAAAGCTATTGATATCACCATATGAGACACATATAATCCAAGTGTGTCACAATTAAAATCCATAGTGTTCAGGCATGGTTCATAGCATAATATTCACACATGAAATGGATGTGTTTCACAATAAGCGCAAAATTAATTGTGAGACACATGATGATGACGTGTGGAATTTTTTGAGTGTAGTTAATTTCACTCTTGTAATACTGGCCGAGGGGTACACACGAAGATATGCGGTTGTCGATTACGCTCTTTACACTCTTTCTTTGAGGGTGGATGCTTCTTATTACAGTTTGACTAGCCTTGGCATAAATCTATCAACTGTCAAATCTCAGCTCTTCGAAGAACTATCAACCAAACTAACCAACTTCTCTGAACTCCATCAGGACAACCCTGATTTCCAAGAATTGAAATGGCCGGACTTCTCTGAACTACGGCAGGACTTCCCTGAACTTCGGCAGGACTTCATCAGGACAACCCTGATTTCCAAGAATTGAAATGGCAGAATTTCCCTGAACTACGGCAGGACTTCCCTGAACTTTGGCAGGACTTTCCTGAAGTTCGGCGGGCCTTCCCTGAACTACGCCAAGACTTCCCTGAACTTCAGTAGGACTTTCCTGTCCTTGGAATCTTGGAATTGAAATTGTCATTTCAGTAGTAGAATTATTATAACTTTACAATAATTTTGTATTTGTCAAAATTTCAATACTTTCCATTTTGCGAATTTGCAATGCTTGTTGGTATTGATGCATTTTGAATTTGGGTGTGGTTCGAACGGGTGCGGAGTCAGTATCAACGGAAAAGCATTAACTTTCACCTTAATTTCAGCTTTCACCCCGTGTCAGGACCCGAACGGCGAAGCCGGCCTATGCGTCCCGGTCCGTCACTGCGACCACATCCACGCGGCGTTCCTCGACTCCCGAATCAAGCACGATACCAAACTGGCCAAATTCGTCTACGCTAGCCGGTGCAAGTCGGATGCCTCCCAGGGTAATTCGATTTGCTGTGCCAAACCCAAAGCTTTGACCGGCGATGGTGGCTTTATCCATCATCGCAAAGCTGCCAAATTGGGACTCAAACGGTGTGGAACGATCCCCTTCACCAACCGGATCCTCCAAGGAAGCGAGGCTGGTTTGGGTCAGAATCCTTGGATGGCGAACCTGCTCTACAGAAGAAAGGATCGGATTGTAAGTCTGTGCAGTGGTTCTCTGATACATCGGAGGTACGTTCTGACGGCGGCACACTGCATGCAGGGTTCAACGAAACCCATCGCCGTCCGACTGGGGGAGTACGACAAGGATAGCAATCCGGATTGCGACGACAGTGGCTGTGCGGCACCGATCACGGACTACGGAATCGGCAAGTTGATCCCCAATGAGAACTTCAATGGTCGTGATGCGGACCATGACATTGCTTTGGTTCGGCTAAAACGGGATGCGGTCCTGTCCAACGGGGAAGTCTACCCGATTTGCCTGCCGTTGACCGAGCATCTGCTGATGATGAAACCGACCAAACTGACGGTGACGGGTTGGGGCATGACGGAGCATCAGAAACCGTCGCAGGTGCTGTTGGAAGCGGATCTGCAGCTCGTTAGGAGGACAAGTTTCTGCGAAGGAGAGGCCACGTGTTGTATGCGAGGCAAGCATTCGGAGGGACACTGCAAAGGGGATTCGGGGGGACCACTGCAAGTGACCGTGCCAGTCGGAAGGGGCTATCGGAATGTACTGTTCGCGGTGGTATCCGGTGGGTCCGGAGAGTGCAACGTAAATATGAAGCAACCCGGTGTGGGAGTGATGGTCGGGTACCACGTAAACTGGATATTGGATCAAATGGATATCTAGGCGGGCACGGAAGGGACTCGATTAACTATTTTTGATCGTGTGATCTCTAGTTACAGCCAAATTTAATGCAACTTAAGAAAATATGGCGGCATTAGCAAAATTTGCTGATTTTAGACATGATGAAACATCAACAAACTTTCCAGCAAAACAGTGCTGCTGAATTTTCTAGCAACAAAGGCTGTCCACGAGACAGTTACGATACCAAGAACATTTAACCGATCACAGTAGAAACTGGCAGTTTATTCTCATATGAATTTCTGCTGTGTTTATGTTTACATTCAGCACCATTAACACCAGAGCACTCACACACTATGGATTTCTAGCTGTCAGTTCCACTGAGAAACGTCTCTTGGATCACCTTACAGGGTGGCCAGACCTACCGATTTATCGGTAGTCCTACCGATTTTCAGGATGCCTACCGATTCACAGACGAAAGATTAAAAACTACAGATTTTTCAGTTTTCCTACCGAGAATCACAGATTTTAGTAATATTGAAAAAATGTTTTGTTTTCCGTGTAGTCAGAATTAGCATTAGAATTAGAAATATTGATTTCGATACTTTTTTTTTTTTTTTTTTTTAACTTTATTATAGAGATTTTTAGCCATAGGCTAGTTCATCTCTTATTGATTTCGATACGTTTAAAGCAGAAGAACTGAAGGACAGTGTATTGTTCTGGAGCATCTGAAATCGGCAGGCTCTTTTCCATGTATTATATTATATAACTAGTGTCCTTAACTATATAATTGTAGATTTCTTACCTCCTCCTCCTTTTTCGGTGGAGTATACGAATGCGAAAACTTGCGACTGCGACGCTATCAGTTTGACAATACTGAGTGCAGGCTTGCAATTGCTCATTACAGCTAAAATTCTATTTTTCGTAATTATGAAACTATGAGGTTATATAGTGGTAATGTTTATTTGTAAGAAACAAGAATTGGTGGTAAAGTTTGTGTATGACATATAAAATTTGTCAATTTTGCTTTCATAAGGTCACAGCTAGCGATTGTATGATCGCTGATTGCTCGCTCATCACGTTGCTCATCGTTACAGCTAATCGCTATTGTGACCCTCTGAAAGCTTAATTGACAGGTTTTATATGTCATGCATACACTTTACCTGCTTTTCTTTCAGCTTGTAAATAAGGATTATCATTAAAATATTTTATAGCTTTATAAATCCGAAAAATAGCATTTTAGCTGTAATGAGCATTTACAAGCTTGACTGAGTGTCCAGCAAACCGTTTATGATAACTGTATTTTTCCGGAAAAGTATTGTTTGCTGTTTTTCAGTAAAGCAGCTGATCATGACGCAGCAAACAATTTTACTGATATTGAAAACATAAACACAAATGAAAACCACGGAAAAACAGAATTGAGTGTAGAGCATGATCTTGACAATTGTGATTTAAAATAGTTCATTATTTTGTAAGAAAGCTGAATGTAATTATATTAATTACAATGTAGATTATGAATCTTAGCAAATTATGTGAATAAAAATTATAATATTTATCAAATTTATATGAGAACTGCTATGAGTTTTCGATCAGTGCAGCGGATTGTCTTTTTCTGCCACCTAGCGTCGAATAGAGAAAACCGTCCCCTAGTCTTCGGCCAAGCTTTTGCTGCATGGGCAGAGCTCCATCAGCTGATCAATTGTTAGTAAACACTCCTACACCGCAATTGGCGTTGACGGCGACTCTGTAGCTCTTTACTCCTTCGAGAAAATCCATAAGCAAACGTCAGACTGTGCGTGAAACATGGCGGACTTTGTACTATCCTTTCACTCCACCGAAAATTCCCATAAGAAACTGTTTATATTTGCTGAAAGAGCAAATTTTTCGACGGTGCCGTCAACGCCAATCGCCGTCGATGTTGGTTTGCAATAATCATCAGTAAACAAACACCGCGGCAGTTGTTTTAAGTGAAAAATTCCCACAATATTTGGGCAATGCCCCGCAAAAGATGCAAAATGCCCAGCAAAGTAACGATCCAGAATCTTCCGGACGAGGTAACGTATTAAATTTCAACTAAAACCCGTGTGTGAGTGAGTACATAATCCGAATAATATTCCTAGATGCTGGAGAAAATCCTGCTCCTCTTGGAACTGGAAGATCGCAAGTCGGCTCTGTGCGTCTGCCAACGGTGGTCCGGCCTGAAACCGTTCGACTGGTCATCGGTCCAGCTGGTAGTTGACTTCGGACGAAACGCCGGCAAAGAAGCGGACTATCACCAGACCCTGCTCGCCTGCAATCGGCGCTACAAGCACCTGGTGTTCTACTTCGGTTACGATTTCGAAAAGTATGACCTTTTTGTGGACATCCTGAGCCACTTCTCCCGGAGCGTGCAGTCGCTGAAGCTCATGCCCAACACTTTCGTTCCGGTCAGGTTGAAGTTTTTCGCTAAAATCGCAGCCCTGTGCTCCAACTTGAAGCACCTTCACATCGATGCATGCAACTTTGACTACAGCCGGAGCGGTTTAGAATTCGCCCCGATGAATAACCTGGAGGAACTGTACCTGGAGAACAACCTGCTGAGTTTGATCCCGAACATGCAGGAAATTACGCCGAATATTACCAGGTTGCACATGCAGATTAGCTACTATTCGGAGGAATCGCGCAACTTCCTACGGCATTTCAGCTCTCGGCTGTTGGAGTTGGAGATTTGGTTCCTGTCGGAGGATTACTTCCTAACGGTGTGTACAATGCACTTTCCGTTGCTGGAGAAGCTCAACTTTTACTGCGTTGACTTGGAGGTCGACTATGCGGAATCAAACGGGGAAATGGACCCGATTTATCAGTTCTTCCAACGGTTACCTGGACTGAAAGAGGTTACATTACGATGCAACATGGTTGATCGGGTGGTCCGAAGTTTGTGTCAATCCTGCAGGAATATAGAGTTTCTTTGCCTTAGCATGGAGTCCTTCCGTGAGCCAAGCTTTCGAGCAGTTTGTCAACTGAAGCATTTGAAGGTTTGTTGACACCCTGTTATTTCATAAGAAGCAAATGCTTAATAATACAAATTTCAGCGCTTGCGGATCGAGGATGCGTCCATTAGTGTTCCTCTTGAATTAAACTGTCCACCGCTCAAGAGTCTGCAGGTGTTGTCACTGTACACGACGCGCATCGACGATCAGGCCGAGTTCAATCAATTCCTTCTGTATGCCTTCCCTAGTCTAGCCGTCTTGGAGATGCTGCACCTGTCCTCGCGCATCAGTCAAGGTCGAACGTTCGAGCTGCACGGCAACATATGCAGCAACATGTCTTCCCTGCAACGGCTGGTGCTGAGCGAACCGGCCGCCAACATACAGCTGGGTCCGTTTCTGGAATTTTGCGCCTCCCGAGGGCCACGGGAGCTGAGGATCAAATGCTGGAACGTGTTGGATATGTTCCCGCTGGACGAACCCCGTTCGATCCCGGTGCAAACGCTGATTCTGGATGCACCGTTGATTTCCCCGATGGTGCTGCAAAATCTGATAAAGTCCATGGGCGAGTTGAGGCGGCTGGAGTTGGCCCTGGCTGACTATTGTTCGCCGGAGGTGATCCGAAGTCTGCGGGCTCGCTTCCCGCGGTGCGAAGTGATCGCGAGACGAAGAGTTCAAATCGAGGAGCCACTGTGAGGGAGGGTAGGGTTCATTTTGGTTCGTTTTTTAATACATAGGTACATAAACTTAAGTTGTAAGCTATTGACATTTGTTTGTTCGAATATATGTTTCAAGGCTTCGAAATAATTCCTTCTACAAAATGTTAAATTTCACTGTGCACCAAACTTCATTATTTTAAAGGCGTCTCCTGAGTTTAAATCTATGCTAAGTAGATACTTATTCCCTAGGACAAACTTAGATCTCAGCTAACAAACATAAATTTTGCTAAAGCTCAACAAGTTTTTCACTGTTGTCCAGCAAGATAAAATGCCGAGCTGCTCGGTGGTGCCCATCTTGACAAAAAAATTTAAGTGAGCACGTAACGTTTTGTGAATGTTGATATGATTCCCTATTTCGGCCATACTGTAAATTTAAAGCGTGTGGCATGGTTGTTGTGGGACCATCAATAGTAGAAAACAATTCAAGGGCAATTTTTCAAGAACCGTTGAGAACCGTATATCGAATGTTTTATCGCTCATGTCGGTGATAAGGTATTTCTTATCACCATATTCCGATTTTTTTATAGGAAAATGTAAATCTCTCTTTAGCCATTTTAAATCGGTAAAATGAACATTGTTAGCCCAACCCAAGTGACATTACAAGTTTTATCGAAGTTTAAAGCATGCTAAAAGTCTAAATCATGGTCTACAGAATCCTCATAAATCTAAATTTGTTACTTGGCAAATGACCCCCGATGAAATAAAACTAACCTCAGAAGCCTTCCTTTTTTCTAATAGCTTTATAAAAATTTAATTCATAAATGTTTTGAGCTAAATGTTGGATCTCAAGACATTGTTAACGACAGAACTATTTATTTCGTTAGATATATAAAGTTTACGATCCTATTCCATGACTGGTAGCAAGTCACTTTTCTCAAGCCAGTTACTAAAAAGTCTCCGTTTTTAAGACCAAAACACTTAAGTCACTTTTTTTGTAATCTGTCACTATTTTCAATTGCCTAGATTGAGATCACCAGTTTTTACACATTGAGGATGATTGCTAGTCCCAACCATCGTCTATTGGTTCTCTGTGTAATTAAAGCTGATCTGGCAATAACAGAGTAGCAACCGTGGACGGTTAATCATGCTCACTCAAAAAATTCTACACGTTAATGATACGTGAAAAATCACGTAGATCTCAATACGTATATTTTTTTGTGACTTTACCTGACGCAAGTAGAATTTAGTTATCAATATTTGATGTTCATAAGGAACACATTTCATATCCACTTTTTTATCTTATAACATTTACGTGAAAATCACATACGTTGAAGGCACTCTTTTGACAGCTTGACCTTCACGTACATGCTACGTGTTTTACATGTATGAAAAAATAAGAAACATGGCTACTCTGCAGTACATACTGCAAGAGGTGTAAGCTGATTTACAGATTTTGAACGGTAAAAGTTATTTTATTGTATAAATAATGTGGTTTAATTTGTATTATTTGTTTTACAGAGTGTGGAATTGATTTTTTCGAGTTACAGGACATAACTACGGACCAAATTCCAAAGTTCTTCCAACCTTCCAACTAAAACAATTTGGAAGTACTTTGTACTCTGAGTTAATTTACTCCAGGCGAACACGCCACCTCACTCGCCACCTCAGCCAGTAACATAAACAGAAGGAAAACAGTGTTCCCGCGAGTCCACGAGAACTTAATCCAAACATATAGATTATTCCTGCAATGAAATTTCCGGTGAAACCTTCCACTCCATCAGCTGTCCCCAAAGCAATTCCACAACCAAAACAATTAAGTTGAAACTCCACCGGCATCACCTGCCCCAGCATCAGCGTTTCATCGCCTTCGCCGTGATCATCCTGCGTTCGAAAATCTCCCTCAAGGATCCGGGCGACTTGCTGTTCATGGAACTGTTCCATTTTCCGAAGCGGCCAGAAATAGGCAGAATGCAGAATCACAAAATAATGTTATCCAAGGTGAAAAAAGGTTCATCGCTATTGCAACACCAGTAAATGTTTTAGTTTAATGAATGCAATAAATAATAATGAGATAATAAACGCAAGTATTGAAGTATTTACTTTACATAAATCAATGAAATTCTATAGAAAAGTAAGTACAATTCATCCAAAAATAATATATTCTTCATTTGGTTTTAATTTAAATTATACCATGATTCCATTTAAAATCTACTGAAATATGTTAATACTGAAATTTCACGTAGCTTGTACGTGAAACTCCAATGTTAAAATTTAGAATGGAAGCTTTCTTCACTACATGGAAGTCACGTAAGTATTATGTGAAAAGTGCGATGGAAAAAATCCACATATGTTTTCACGTAGCATTAACGTGTAGAATTTTTTGAGTGCTCATGCTCTACCAGTCACTATTTTCATTTTTTTTAGCGTTAATTTATTTCAAGATTGACAGGGTGTCGACTACTTGCACGCTATTTCAAAACTACCCAAATTTGGATAGAATCCACTCAGATCGGTCGAAACTGAACCTACCCCAAAAATGGGTAAACTGTGTTGGGAGTTACAAGTTGACAAATGAACAACATCGATATGAATCCGATCGACGCCGTTAATTTTTCAACTTGTCACTCCCAACATAGTTTACCCATTTTTTGGGAAGGTTCAGTTTTGACAGATCTGGGTTGATTCTACCCAAATTTGGGTAGTTTTGAAATAGCGTGTGGAAATATCAGAGAATTCCAAGGGGAACGACACTCATTTGGATGCATTTTTTCACTCTAGTGGTTACTTATGGGATTTTCTTGGAAAAACATAATGGATGGGATTTTTTTGAATGTGGATCAGGGGATGGAATGGATGGAGTGTTAAAATTTCTCAGAGTTTTGAATTGGTCGTATTTAATAAACGTAAACAAATTGACATTTTAATGCTATCAGAAACTACTCTACTAATATACCTGTCAAGTTTCATAGTTTCATTCATACAGTTGTTCCAGTCATGTCGTCGAAACAAAGAAATCAGGCATAACATTTGATAACGGCACAAAAGCATTTGTAAACAAACTTTCTAAGGCCCTTTACACGCGAACCGAAGTACGCCCACGCAAACCAATAACTTCATCGGAAAGGGGCAACTATCACCGAAAGTGGTATTGGTTTGCGTGGGCGTGCTTTGGTTCGCTTGTAAAGGGCCTTAGAAAGTTTGTTTACAAATGCTTTTGTGCCGTTATCAAATGTTATGCCTGAAATGTCCGTAAACAAATTTTGTGCACTTACAATCAACATCCAGAGGCGTCACACCGATGGATCGCTAAAAAGCTTGGAATTGCAAATACAACTGTGTTTCGTGTGATAAGAACCTTCAAGGAGCGTCTGAGTTCCCGAAGGAAGAAAGGGGGTGGTCGTAAAAGTGGTCCAATGCACAGTAAAATCAAAGATGAATACTAAGATGAAACTGTCGGAAGAAAAACTTTCTATTTTAGTGTCTTCTTTCACGGTCCCTTTCATCCAATGAGAACCCCCCGTATTCAAGGTAATTTTGTGGTTTTGCTGCCCCCTCGAAAGAGATGAAATTTTGCGCTCATTTTTATCAAAACAATCACACCAAAATTAGAGTCGGTGTATAATGAGTCACGCCAAGAGTGAAGCCAAGTCTACCTATTGAACTGTCAAACCGGCTACCTATCGTGCAAAGTACACAAACATTACGATGCTATGAAAGATCCACGAAAGGTATTGCAATAAAATATAAAATATAATCAAAGAAATGATCATAAACACGCAGTGAGCAATAAATTGTCATGGGATACGTTTGGTAATGATCACTTATGAGAATTTCTACTATTTTTTGGTAAGATAATTTGACAAAATCACTGATATAATGATTTACTATAGCCGTTATTTTTTTTTCTCGCTAGAAGTCATTTGAAGTTGATGTAGAAGTCCTCTGTTGCCAAGTAAAAGAAAGGGAATCTTTCGAAAACCGTGATGCGAGTTCAACTGTTTTTCTCTTGGCGTGACTCATTATACACCGACTCTAACCAAAATCAGAGATGTCCCATTTTTTAATTACTCGATTAACAACTAATCGATTATTTTTTGTTCGCTGTGCTGCCATTTTTCCACGAATGAGAGTGCAGCACATGTTTGAAACGATCGGTGATGATCCTGTGGAGATGTTAATGCTTTTATCGGCATGATCTAACCGACTATAAATTGGCGTTGACGGCACCGTCGAAAAATTTGCTCTTCCAGCAAATCAAGAGCAAATTTTCATTACGTCGAATGTAACAAAGGTAAACAAAGTCGAGCTATCAGTGTCAATCGATGCTCCTGCTATTACACTATATACTGTCCGAATATAGGATCACATCCCATTTTTAAATTTATTTACCAGTCGAATTGCTTTTTGACGTAATCGCCTTCCGATCAAAATAATTTCGATGTTACTTAAGTCACCCGATTTCTATGGAGATGCCGTTTGCCTTAAGTAACAGCACTGAGAAACCCGTGAAAAGTGTACTTTCGTCGTTTTGCTTTCTCATTATTAAAGTGAATAAATCGAACTGTTTGTTGCTAAGATGATTTCGGTGGTCCTAAAATGATGAATGGGCTGCACGTAAGGAGACGTAATTGATAATTCTCCCGAATATCCTGGTAAAAACACTTTGACTTAAGTAACAATAGGGGCCACCAAACGACGTATAATAAATTTTGACTCAAAAACCAGCATTTCTTAGCATGAAAGCTAGCGATTTGCCTTTGTATGATTAAAACCCGGCTAAATATGTTAAACATTGCTATCACTATGAGAGTATATGTGTTTAATTGGAAATAGGAATAAATTTTCGGTCATCAAAACAAAACTTTATTTTTCTCGGATCGGTGCGAATGTTACTTACGACATAATGAAAATTTGCTCTTGAAATATAGACAGTTTCTTATGAGAATTTTCGGTGGAGTGAAAGGATAGTACAAAGTCCGCCATGTTTCACGCACAGTCTGACGTTTGCTTATAGATTTTCTCATAGGAGTAAAGAGTTACAGAGTCGCCGTCAACGCCAATAGTTTACTTTTCGGTTCGTTAATCGATTAAACGATTATTCGAATGAAAATCGGACATCACTAGATGAATGTGAAACGTCATTTCAAATATAAGGCCGTTCATAAATAATGATACAATTTGAAAGGGA